AACTTTTGCATTCTTAATCACCGTATGACAAAAATTAGCATATCCCATAAGGATCACCTGGAAATATATGTATCATTCAGTCAACAAAATTGTTCCAACTTTCCTTCTACAAGTAAAACTTGGGTTAAACTGATTTTTGACACATCCACACCAGTCTTCGCCTACTTCCTGAATTCTGTTCAGCATAAGCCTTCATCTCCTCGGGTTTTATACTTTCTCAGCAGGTAACTATTAACACATTTCACAGGTGACTGCATATTGTAAAAACTATGTGGTTCGACATGGCGGAAATACCTTGTTTAAGACCAGTAATTTTTTTCCAGATGCTGGAGCAGAACAATGGTTCTTCAATGGATAATCAAGACAAATCCTTGTGTCCCTTCGGAATGCCTTCACAAATCTCCCCCAAAGCTTTAAAAATACCAAACAGGCAAATGCACTCCTAACTTCAACACCACTGATACAGAGCCATTTAGCAAAATCAGGAGGTCAAGGACTGAGTCTGTGATCAAATGTTTACAAAATCAAGAAGCAGTAAACAGATTTTGAAAGAAAGCAGTAGATTCTGACACACAATATATGCAGTTTTGGCCCAGAAATATTTCAAAGCCATCAAAATGGTAGTTTGTCTACATCAGGGTTTTCCCAAACTTGGGTCTCCAGCTGTTTGGGGACTACAGTTGCCATCATCCCTGGCCACTGGGTCCTGCTAGCTAGGGGTGATGGGAGTTGTAGTCCAAAACAGTTGGAGATCCAGTGTTTGGGAAACCCTGGTCTACATTCTAAAGCCAATATTGGGAAACCTGTGGCCCTCTAGGCATCATTGAACCACAACGCCCACCATCACTGACCACTGGGCTTTCTAGCTGGAGGTCATGAGAGGTGCAGTCCAGTATTTGGAAGGGAACCGGTTCCCCATCGCTGTTCTGACCAGTTAGACCAAACAGGGAGGGAGATTTGGCTTTCTCGTGTGTGCATGGCCTAGTATCCATCATAGCCAAGTCCCCAAACCCCCAAATGCATTCAGACTAGCCACAAGACAAATTAAAATTTCAAGGTAGAGAACCTAGGGAAGCAGAACAATGCTACAAGCTTGTGTCAGGCATTGCAAGTTCCGCCCACAGCAGGGAATAAGGACGGGAGCTGGCTTTGCATCAGATTTAGACAAATTAGCCAGGGACAGCAAAGAGATAACACCAGGTCAGACAGCATTTTCCCGAAGAGTTGTGAAATCCAAAACATCGCTGGGAAAAACAAGTAGATCCTCTAGGGCAAAAGCATCTGAACAAACATAAATCCTGAAAGATTTTCATGCCAGAAGAAACAGCAGCATCTTTAAAATCTAAACTAAACTCCCCTGTTACTAACATGAGTTCAATTATATGTATATCTATCAAGAGAAACAGCCTGAGGTGTTGGAAGAGTGATATTACACTGCTATTGTCTGTCTTGATTTCCTCTTCTTTTTCCCTCTCAATCTGCATCTAAGCCACATTGTCATTATCTTATCACTGATTTTTAAACAGAATCCTATGTTATATCTTGGGGGAGCATGCTCAATCTCACAGTTCCAGTCAGATTGTGTGCACCTAGTGATGTCCAGTCTTCTAATTTGTTGGCGCAACCTGGTCTGTCTTGTTTATGGTTCCATACTAAAATCACCACATCCCAAGGGTGCATTGTACAGTAGTATTCTTTGAACCTCACAATGGGAAAGAACACCAGTGGTTTCCTGGAATAGATCAGTGCCAAAAAGCTAATATGAGCTACCACTTGTTCAAAAGGAAACTAAGAGGTCAAAGGAAAGAAAACTTAATACAGTCACAGAGGCCAGAAAAAAATGTTGTCCCGTTGGTCCAGGGTCGCTGGTTTAGCAACATACCATAGTATAAACCACCCATGTCAGAACTTGGGGCATTAGTTTATTCCTAACTCATATACTAAGATGAAGCTGACCCACAATAAACAGTGCGTAGCGTGGGTTGTCAGCACCCGGGCAAGGCAAGTAATTTGTGCCCCCTAACCCCGTTGGATTTGCGCCCCTAACCTGTGGATTTGCGCCCCCTAACCCGTGAATTTGCCCTAACCCCAGATGTTGCGCCCGGTGCGGCCGGCCCCCCCTGCACCCCCCACGCTACGCCACTGACAATAAAAAAGAAGGAAAGAAAGAGTTCAAAATAGCAGTCCTTTAGTTTGATGCAAAGATTTCTCACCAGGGAACAGCACATTATACTCTGCTGCTGAGAGAAGCTTTGCCCCAAGGTTATTATAGTTTACATCTATTTCCAAATTCATTGTTAAGAGAGAGGCTGCATTCAGATATCACAAAAAATATCAAATATTTACAATGACTATGGTGAGCCTTTCATTTCCCCCTTACTACAGCTGCAAGGAGAAGCTCAGAAACCTCTATTCTGGGAGCAGCCCACATCAATCATCATTAACTACAGTCAGTGCTCCCCCCCCCTTTAGAAAAAATAGGTGCCAGTACTAAACCATGAAGTTGTTACAATGGAATGTCACACTTTTTAACCAAAAAGAAAAAGAGGGTGCCGGTTCTCACCGTGAATTTGTTACAGTAACTGCTACACTTTTAAAAAACAAAATACAAAAGAGGTGCCAGTACTGAGTACCCTCTGGAAAACAAGCACTGGCTATAGTATTAAATACCGTTCAAAGCACACACACACCCCTCAAATAATTATGGGCACTGTAGTTTGCCCCTCACAGAGTTACCATTCCAGCAACCCATAACAAACTAAAGTACCCAAAATGCTTTGAGGAAGAGAATGTGCTTCAGATGTCTTCAAAGGTACAGTGTGTACACAGGATTAACCACATTGTTCAGCTGTAATGCTAAACTTTGGTTAACTAAAATAGGAAGCAAAACCTTCCTTGTAGTTGTCCCAGGGAGGGAACAAACTAGACGCTCAATTCCGATATCTGAATGCAGCCAGAGCGTAGGAGTTTGAATATGGTTAATAGTAAATTAAATTAAGAATTATGAGGCACCCAAAGTTTGGATATTCTAGTCAGGAAAAAAGCGTATTGGTGAGCCCTATTCAGTAAGCCTCACATGTTATTGCTTCCGACCTGTAAAAGGAAAGGGAAGATTCAGCTGCAGACCAGTGATCTAGAACTGCATTCTGCCCATTTCAGACTCTCATAAATTGGGATTGTAAAATGCTGCCAGATTAGTATGTCTAAGGAGTATAGATCAACACAAGTCTGAGCATTATTAATAAGCCATAAACCCTTGGATATAATTAACAAAAAAAAAACTTGTCTTCATTGTTCTGTTGAGTCATAGCGAAAACAAAAACAAATCACAAGGTGGTACGTGCTGAATATACAAGACCAACCCTGCTCCTCTTTCCAACTGGGGGAAGGAGAATTATTGTGTAAACAACACTTGGGGGGGGGAACAATCATAACCATCAAAGAAAATCATTAGTATTAGCAAGCCATACAACTAAAGGCTAGGTAAAGAGAAAAGAAGCATGCTAAGACGCGGGTGGCGCTGTGGGTTAAAGCCTCAGCGCCTAGGACTTGCCGATCGAAAGGTCGGCGGTTTGAATCCCCATGGCGGGGTGCGCTCCCATTGCTCGGTCCCAGCGCCTGCCAACCTAGCAGTTCGAAAGCACCCCCGGGTGCAAGTAGATAAATAGGGACCGCTTACTAGCGGGAAGGTAAACGGCGTTTCCGTGTGCTGCGCTGGCTCGCCAGATGCAGCTTGTCACGCTGGCCACGTGACCCGAAAGTGTCTGCAGACAGCGCTGGCCCCCGGCCTCTTGAGTGAGATGGGCACACAACCCTAGAGTCTGTCAAGACTGGCCCATACGGGCAGGGGTACCTTTACCTTTACCTTTAAGACATGGGAATTAGGATCCTCTATCACTTGGGCAATGCCCAAGAGATATTATCTTTTTTTTTTTTTATATAAAATTTTTATTGGGTTTTCACATTTTTATAGACATACAAACATAAAAAGAACACAACA